GGCCTCTGTCCCCATCACGGTTCTCAGACCGGATCTTTGAGCCTCACCCACCCAGTGGAAGAAGCACTGAGCCAGTGACAGCCAGTGGCTCGGTAGGAGCTGGGAAGGCAGAGACATAGATGATCTCCCCTTGAAAAGCAGGAGAAGAAAACACCAAGCAGAGAAGCGTCACTGTGTTCCCTCCCTGTGAGCCCTTAAGCTTCCAGCTGATGGCTCTGAGTTCTGAGGGGCTCTTCCCTCCCATGCCAGCCTGTAATCTCTGTGTTGTTCCAACTCCAGTGCTGCCAATTACGCTGCAGCCTAAGATGTCACTCGGTCTCCCACCATCGCAGCTCCAATCCCCCGAATGCTTTTGGTCTAAATTGGGCTTCAGGTGGCCTTTTTCTCTTTCTGACCCCCTACCCTCAACCAGAAGCTGTGGCCATCTATGCCTAAATGTCTCCCAGACATGTAGGATAGGATGTGTTGAGGGCAAGAGATGTTTTCTGTGGAGGTGACTCGAGACCTTACAGGGCTATGCATATCCTGGGAAAGAGAGAGATGAAACTGAACGACCCACCAAATCTTTTGAAACTGACGACTCTGGTCTGATCCTTCCACTTTTTTCATAACGCTGGGCTTCATGTAGAGCTGTAACCCCCAGTCTGAATCTCAAAGTAGTAGACAGAGCTGTTTCCATTTATTCCACAAGTTTTATGGGTAACATGGTCAGAGTAGTTAGGTCTGTGACCTTTGTCATCAGACTGTGTCAAGTCCAAATGCTGCTTTGATGCTTACCTAAGCTGGTCAGCTGTGTCCCTTACTTTACCTCTCAGTGCCTCCGTTTCCTCATTCCGTGGGGACGGCAGTAGTGCATCCATCTTTGCTCAGTTAAAAGGACTCAGTGAAATGAGATAATGTGTATAAAGTATTCAGGACTGGATTTGTCCCACAGAATGCATAAAAGTTGTAAGCTCCTTTGCTGTAAAATCTGAATTCAATTGCACACATCTGTGTGTCTTGAGCATTGGTTATGTGCCGGGCACTGCGCACACATCTCCTTATATAACATCGCTTTATTCCCAACAGCCCTCGAAGGGCAGGTAACGTCTGCTCCACTTTGCAGCGAGAAGAATGAGGCTCAGAAATACAGGTGCCTTGTTCCAAGTCTTTGAACACAAAGCCCACTCTTGAGGATGTCAGTGAGTTTTACATCTTTTCTTTTCAACAATGGGAACATTTTTCCTTCAGTGGGAAAGAGATCAAAGGCACAGGTCTTTGAGTCGGAGCAAGGAGAGCCCAGGGCCCTCGCTCCCTCCACCTCCCCCGCCCACCGGGAGCCACCGTGCCGGCCACTTCAGTAGCTGCCGGCCACGTGCGGCCATTTACACCAGAATCTAAATTAATGAAATGAAATAAAATTTAAAACTCAGGTTCTCAGTTGCACTAATCACATGTTAAGTGCTCAATATTTCCATCATCGTAGAAAGTCCTCCTAGACAATCCTGCCATAGAGGGTTTGCGTACAGAGTTCGGAAATACTGCCGATGAGCTCAGGCTGCCTTAGCCTCTCAGAACCTCACCTGCTCATAGACAACATAGGAGAAAATAATAATAATAAATTTCCCTACTGGGCATTTGTGAGGCCCCGGTGGGACGATGTATGTAAAATGCTGTGCACTTTTATCAAGCATTGTGCAAACAATGGCCTTGTCTATCAGAGGGCTGTGTAAGCCCCAGGATGTTTTTAAACATGCAGGTATCTGTGGCCATTGCATTTAGACCCCAGCTCTCTAGAATCATCAATGAGGGACGGAAGTCACAGTCCACATGGCCCTGTGGTTTCCTTCATGTGTTGTCCTCACTGTGGTCCTGACGTGGCCCTGAGACCACAGAGAGTCTCCCTGGCCAGACCGCTCTAAGAGCGTGGCCGCCAGCCACCCAGACAAGCCAGCGTGTGGTTGCTTTGCTCAGAATTAACTGTCTTTTGCAGCTGTCCTCGCTCTGACTTGATGGCATCTTGCATTTGCAAACTTTGTTTTCCGAGAAAACTTCCCTTTTTCCTTGGGCTCATCCGGCTGTTTTTTGCTCAGCTGAAGATCTGTCATGAAATATGGTAATGATTTGCAGAAATCTGTGCCTGTCCGTAAAATATGAATTTAAACTGCTGTTGGACAACTCTCGTATGAATGCCAGGTACAGTTTTAGATTTCCATTGCAGAAATGCATCAGTGTGTGGTGGGTTAACAGGATGGGGAGGGCTTTCACCCTATGAATACCAACAGGTGACCTTAACATTTGAATGTACCTAAACACACCTGTGTGTGTATTTGTTTGGTTTTTGAGGAATTGAGAGAAGAGAGTTGCAGGAATCTTAGAAAGTGTTACTAAAACCCCAGTTCTCGCCATCTCCATGGCAACATGAAGTATTGAGGTGGCAAGCACCCCAACTTCATTAAGAGTACACATGTTGTCCATTTGTCCTGAAGTCCTCAGGGTACACACGTTATCCAGAGTCTCACTTTCCCTCTTGAGATTGACAGAAGGTGACTCTTGGCTTGCAGAACCGTAGGATGCCACAGTTCAAAAGGACCGCAATGACAACCTCATCTCACAGATGAGAAACCAGCAGTGCAAAAGAAGGAAGTGACTTTCCGAGGTGGCACCATCATAGACGTAAATGTAGACTAGAACTCAGATCCCTTCCACCTGCTCCCCCGCCGCTCCTGTCACACGCCGTACTGCCATCATAACATAAACCAACCTTTAAAAGCCCCCCAACCTGTATTTGCATGGGTCTCAGCATTGCTGGCTGTCCAGAAAGGGTGTTTCCTCTTGGTTCAACAGCTCTGTTTGCCATTTCTGTTGACAATGCCCAGTTTTTCCCCCTCTTCCACTTGGATGATCTGATCCCCTTTTAATACTCTCAGAGTATAAAACTAAGCCTCCAGCCCTACAGCCCTGAGATGAAAGCTTCAGAGTCTTTCTGTTGGTGAGACAAGCCTTGTAGTCTTGCCCCATCTCTAACCATTACAGAAACAAAAAATTAAAGTGAAGAACACAGCTGCAAACCTTCCAAATAGTTTTCTTCCCATAGGGAGTCCTTCAGCAGCTGTCTTTGGAAGGATGCAGCATTTGACATCCTCTTCCTGCCACTTTTATTTTATTTTATTTTATTTTATTTTTGCTTCACTGTTGTATGTCTTCTTGTTAGGGAGTGAAGGGCAGTAAAGTTGAAGAAGTGTCAGGAAGTTGAGTACTCTCCCATTTAGTTTTCCTACCTACATTAGAGTTGAGATATCCATCCCCTGTATTCAAGGTTGATCATTTCAGCCTTGTTAAATAACTTTAAAAATTGGAAACAACATACATGCCCACCAATAAGGATGTAGGTCATGAATTAGACACAGCCGTGCCTTTGAGGGGATTACTGGGTGCTTGCCTTTTGGAGGGTGCTGACTGGGAGGGGTAAACAGGACTTCTGAGGTGATAGTGATGTTCTCTACTTCAGTCTGCATGGTGATTTCAAGGATGTACACATATGTAAAAATTTATCTAGTGCTTTATTCCATATAAGGTATACCTCAATAAAAATAAATGTACCAAAAAATTAAAAAGAGTGCTGTACACTGACTTAGAAATACATTCACTATGTGTGGGGTTAAACGAGAAAAGAAAGCCATTGGTGAAATGGTTTGCGTGGTGTAATTATATTTGGAGAGTTGAAACAGGGTTGGCAAACTATGTCCCATGGGCCAACCTGTGTTTTGCAAATAACCTTTTATTGGAACAGAGTTGAATTCCTTCATTTATGCATTGTCGCTGGCTGCTCTCATGCTGTGTGTTAATTTCCTAGGGCTGTCATAACAAAGCATTACAAGCTGAGAAGCTTAAACGATAGGAATTTTTTGTCTCAAACTTCTGGAGGCTGAAACGCGGAGATCAAGGTGTCAGCAGGGCTGTGCTGCCTCTGAAGGCACTTGGGAAGGATCTGTCCGGGCCTCTCTCCTGGCTTCTGGTAGTTCCGAGGCTTGTGGCAGCATAACTCCAACCTTCACCTGGCGTTCTCCCTGTGTGCACGTCTGTGTCCAAATTTCCCCTTTTTATAAGGACATCGGTCATGTTGGATTAGGAGCCCACCCTGCTCCATATGACCTCATCTTAATTACATGTGCAATGACCCCATCTCCAAATAAGGTCATATTTGGAGGTACTGGGGGGTTAGGACTTCAACATACGAATTTTGAGGAAACACAGTTCAGCTTCATGCTACAACAGAAAGCTGAGTAGTTGCACCAGAGACCAAGCCTAAACTTTATTATCTTGCCTTTATAGAAAAAGTTACCAACCCCTGTTTTAAAAGGAGTGTGTATGTGTGTTTGTGTGTGTGTGTATATGAGGTGTGTGTATACACACATGCATATAAAATTTGGAAAGTTGTTCACAAATTTATTAACAGAGGTTGCCTCTGAGTTATGGAATTATAGGCAATTTTAATTGTATTCTTAATATTTTCTGCATTATTTGGGTTTCTAAAATTTATTATGTAATAATTTTTATAATATAAATGAAACATGTTTCATAAACGTGTTTCTTAGGGCAGGAAGAGACATCATTCCTATTTAGTCTCTCTCCCCTTCCTGCACGATACCATCTGATTCTCCTGTCCCTTAATGGTTTATTTTGTTCTAATGCAAACCTTTCTAAATAGGCCACTGCTCTTCACTGTTGGGAGTGCTAAGGGCAAACACTTGCAAACCAGCATATTTGACTGTTTACTCACTTGGGCATAAGGATTCTTCATGTCTTTATTTAACTGCCTCTTGAAACTTCGAGAGAAAAGGTTCTGGCTTTTATCTCCTCATTAAAAATAGATCCTTTTATGCTGATGGGATGGAGCCGTCATGAATCATCATCTCCCATGTGAAAGAAAGTGTGTGATGCTGGATCAGGCCTTAGGAGCTGGGCCCTGAGACGGTACCTCGCCTTCCCCGTGACTCCCTGGTTTCTTGTCATTGCAGGAAACTGGACGCTTTCATCTATGATGCTGCGGTCTTGAATTACAAGGCTGGGAGGGACGAAGGCTGCAAGCTGGTGACCATTGGAAGTGGGTACATCTTTGCCACCACTGGTTATGGAATTGCCCTCCAGAAAGGCTCCCGTTGGAAGAGGCAGATTGACCTGGCCCTGCTCCAGTTTGTGGGTGATGGTAAGACCTTGGTTGACCCCCTACTTCTGAGGGACTTGAGACCCTCACACTCTCTGTTTTCTAACTGGCTTTCCAGTAGATCTTTGGGTGGTGAGTTTGCTCACCAAAAGTATTTATCGAGTGCTGATCACATGATACCACGATTCTCGTAATGGAAACCAATTACAGACAACTCAGTAAAGTAAAAGGAGTTTATTTTAAGGATGCAGAAGTGTCTATCTCAGTGAATTTAAGAAAGAGTTGAGCAAATAGGTTCAGAGGAAAAAACAGGAACCAGGACAGTCCTGGGGCCTCAACAGCAGGAATTCATAGGTCCTCTCTGTAGAGCAGTGGCTCTCAGTGCGGGGCAGGGATTTTGCCCCCCAGGGGATATTTGGCTGTGTTTGGAGATATTTTTGATTGTTATGACAGGGAGGCTATTTGATACCGGCATCCGTGGGTAGAGGCCAGGGGTGAGGGATGCTGGCAAACATGCTACAATGCCCAGGACAGGCCCCCACATCTCAAAACACAGAATTAATCTGACCCCAAACGTTAATAGTATCAGGGTTAAAAAACTCTGCTCTAGAGCAGTGACATTATGTAACAAGGCTACAATAAGTCCCAATCTCTATTTGCCAAATTCTAAATTTCAAATTCCAGAGGAAGGATTCCTGATGCATTTTGGGTCAAGCACTCTTTCTTGGACCCATCAGGAGTGAATAAGGGGTGGGGTTACGTTGTACTAACACAACAGCTCCAACTATTATCCTATGGAGGAATGAAGGCGAGCCAATCTCTATAAAGGGAACAGTGAGCAGAAATCCCACGGGTTTCCTCTACAGCCCACCTCTCGGCTGCCTATCGTGCAAAAAAAGGCTGTTTCCACCCTCACGGGGCTTACAGTCTAATGGGATGATGGTACTTCTCTACTCATAGCTGGTGATCTCACCGCAGCCCATTGTTCCCTAGCATGGGTTTTAGAATCCTCTCATGGCTCACGTGGCATGCTAGTTACCCTTGGACTTGCCAGAACTGAGACAGGAAAAGCAAAGGCAGCAGAGATGGCAGGTGAACCCTTAAAACTTGAGTAAGTGTGAGTAGGCAACAAAAGCTCAGGGCATCGGGCAGAAGCTGCCTTCAAGAACGGTGGAAGCTGTATTCGGAGATGGTGCCAGGACAGGCTACGCCTGTCTAGAGCTGGTAGAGGACAGTCTGGCAACCACCGTGGCCAAATACGGTATTGAAAGGGGCAGAGGTTAGTGCTGTGGTTGGTGTGAATTTGAGCAAAGTGCATAATGCCTTACAGTCTCTACTCCCAGAATTAAACCCCGGATTCTCACAATGCCATCAAGAAATCTAAGTGTGCTTTATATTTCTCTCCCAAACGAAAGCATCTGCTTCTTTGAATTCCCTATAGGGCATTTGTACCTTCCTCAGATCAAGAGCCGTGTTCTCTGCTGTGTCATAGTGATTTGCGGCAGTGTTGCTCAGCTGTTGCTGTGAAATCTTGGAGGTACACGACAATAGCATGTATTTTGCTCGTGGGAGCACAGATTGAGTGGAAAAGCTCTGCCTCAGGCCGTGGTGGCTCCCCTGATGCCGCAAGACCATGGGTCATCTCTGTGGTCTCTGTTCCACCTATGTTTATTCTGGGTCTCAGGCTGAAGGGGCAGCACCTACCTGGGAAAAGCTCTTCCCTTGGCTATGATGAAGGCAAAGGAAAAAACACCTACGTGCACGTGCACATTTCAAGTCTCTGCTTTGTCAGATCCACGTCGGCTAACACCCTTCTGTCCAAAGTAAGTCCTGTGGCCAAGCCCAAAGTATACTCTGGAGGTATACTCTGCCTTGTGTGGAGGAGTTTGGGAGTTAGATGACAAGGCATGTGGACACAGAGAGGAGTGAAGCACCCCTCCACCACAGTGCTTGACTAAGCACCTCCACGTGGGGTGCGGTTCTCGGTAAACGAGAGTCTTGTTTCCAGCAGTAAACACTACAAAATCTTGAGCATGACAGGTGACTGGTCAATGAAGGATTGAATGGATAAATACATGCATGGATGAATGGTTGGTGTCAGGATGCATTTCATTTGACAGGAAACTTTTAAATATGATGGGTAGCTGTCAAATAAGTCAGTTCTAACTCTAGTCCTACCTACCACTGCTGTCACTCTTGCAGCATCTATTATGAAATAGCAACATATTTGGGGAATAGAATATGCCAATCACCATACCGGATGCATTACATGTGTTCTTTAATTTAATATTCGTTAACAACTTTATGAAGTTAAATATTGCTTATACTCATTTTACAGAGGAGGAAACTTCAGCTCAGCGGGCTTGTGAGTCCCCTAGTGAGTAAGTGGCAGTCTCTACTTAAGGGGCCTTACTCTGGACGGGGTCGATCATGTAAGACTCTTGTTTCATTCAGTTCTCTAGGATGTCTATCAAAGTTGGCTAATCAGATGCTTGAGATATATAGATACTTTAGGAAAAAGTAATTGTGTATGTGTGAACAATATCTATTGTCCCATTTACAAATGCTTCTGTGAAAGGGGTAATTTTTCTTAGCCTCAGTTTACTCATCTTCAACTAAATGCAGAAATATTTACCTGATAAGGTTGTCATGAAGCCAAAATGAGAGGTTCTATGTAAAGAGCTAGCTAAGTACAGCCACCTGGAAATAGAAATGGTTCAATCAATGCTAGCTGTTGCCATCGTCACCCCCAGCGCCATCAACGCCATCATCACCCTGCTTCCCCTCCCCCTCCTCGTCGTTGTTGTCCATCCACAAATCCAGCATTCAGCACAGCCCGGTTAGCGTCGTGGTTTTGATAATAAGGTCAAGTTAGCATCATGGAAATGCGGTGCTGAACAGAAAATGTCCTCTTTGTGGCAAATTAAAAAAAATAAAAAGTAAAGGCAGCCAGATAAGCCAGAGGTGTGTTCTTTGTACGAGCACAGCATCCAAATTCTTGGAGATATTTTCTGTCCCGACTCACTCGTGGCTTTTCTGGTCAGACTCTCTGGGCTGGAAAATGTGTCTTCACAGCTTCATCTTTAGAGACCGCCTGGGGGCAAAGACATTGGAGAGAAAATGATGTTGCTCCAGGGGGCGTCTTAAGATAATCTTCTCGGAAAGCGTGTCCAGTTCTGAATCTCTCTCTAGGAGTAAATACATGAGTTAACACATCTGCGTAAATATTTCACTTATCTCATGCAGCTTCAGCAGGATTAATTATGCTTTGAAATTAGACCTGGAAAGAGCACAGTGCTGAGCGGTCCCCAATTATTATTCATCCTCTGGAATGGAGTGTTTATCTCTTGTTATAGAGTAGCTTCGGTGGACGATTACAAGTCTAATGAGTGTCAAAAGTATAAAAAATTTTCCTAATGAGCTGTGTAAATATAACCTTTGAATGGAGTGTTTGGTTATTGTGAAACCTCTTATGTGAAGCCTGCCAGACATTTCCCTAGGAAACAGGCTACTGATCTCCCTTAAGAGACACACAGGGTCCCAGTAAGACCTTTCCTTCCTTTTCCTGTCTAACTGTCGTGTTCTTTCTGGAACAGTTGAGTGCACCGTGGGGACACTCAAAGGTACTTTTCAGCATTGATCATCAATACCCAACGTTTACTGAGAAACACACATTCTCAGGCACTGATGTTCCAAGAAGGCGATCTCATGGTCTTTTCCTTCTTTCTTTCAAGGAGCTTACAGTCCAGTTGGTTGCCAATGTATGAAACTAAAATATCTAATCTCAAAGTATGAACATATTTGTAATAATGCGTATATATCTATGAGTTCATATATACTATATATGTGTTTATATATATACATACCTATATATACTCTTTGGTATCTTGGGTAGGTGAGAGAATGCTCAAGGAGAAATATGAGATAGATCAGCTTTTTTTTTAAATGGAAGAATGAAAAGACAGAATAAGTCATAAAGAAAACAAGTAAGATCTAGACAAAGATAAGAATAGGCCAGAGTTCACAAAGCTGCATTCATTAACTTATCCTGCGACCAGCAAGTAACTGGTGGGTCCCTGTTATCACCCTGGCACCTAAAAGCTGACAGCTGAGTGAGAACATAAAGAATGAGTAAGTCTGGGACCTAAAAAAAATGGCATTTCTGGTTTCAAAGGGGAGGTTGAACAGGAGATCTCTTAGGCCCCAGCAATCTCATGGATTTCGTAATTTTTTATGTGATTCTGGGATTTGAAGAGTCAGAAGGAAGATCATAGAGGTTAAAAGCACTTTCGATGTATAGAGGCCAGCAAAAAGATATCAGGGAGAACAAGATGATATAATAATATTATTCAGAAACAAGTGATGCTGAGAAAATAGAAGGAAACCATTGTTTTTTAAAAATTTATTTATTTTTGGCTGCATTGGGTTTTCGTTGCTGCGCAGAAGCTTTTGCTAGTTGCGGCGAGCGGGGGCTACTCTTCGTTGCGGTGCACCGGCTTCTCATTGTGGTGGCTTCTCTTGCTGCGGAGCACGGGCTCTAGGCGCACGGGCTTCAGTAATTGTGGCACACAGGCTCAGTAGTTGTGGCGCACGGGCTTAGTTGCTCTGGGGCATGTGGGATCTTCCCGGACCAGGGATCGAAGCCGTGTCCCTTGCATTGGAAGGTGGATTCTTAACCACTGTGCCACCAGGGAAGCCCTATCATATACTTCTATAAATTATTTATATGGTGTATTCCATTGCACTTATGTTTAGGTATATATGATAGATATCATATGTAAATATTTGAAAGATATGACACATGTATCTCTTGTATTCATATTGTATTCTAGGATAACCAACTCAACCTATTTTGCTGGGACTCTCCCAGTTTTAAAACTAGCTAGTGACCCCAATTATATCATACTTGGGCATATATGATAAATATCATATATGAAATGTTTTCAAGATTCCATCTATATCATTTCAGTTGGATAGGTGCATTGGGTTCCCTTTGTCCCTTTTGTACTGCAACTTTGCAAGCAATCGCCTTAAAGACTCAT